GTCCCGTCAGTCCGCTGGGGTATACCCCAGCCATTGTCTGTTTTCAATCTCATTCCTCACTTGCACATTTTGGAGTACGTGCGTTGGAGTCTTGCGTGGGGAGCTGCGTTGTGCCATCTTGCTCCCCCTTCTTCCTCCATCTCCATCTCTGTCACTAGCGGAGCACCACACCTGGTGGGTCCGCTACAAGCCATTACCCTCTTTTGCCAAACACAGCGCACACCCTAATCATGAATGTGTACAAGCTATCTCCCATACAGTCCTAATTAGGTGTGAATTGCGTTCATTCATAGACAGTAGATAATTGCTAACCGAATCGCCCTGCTCACAAGAACCCAATCCATGGAAAGTACTTACCCTCCTCTTGCACAGCACTGCTCAAGTGACTCGATTGCTAGCCAGTGGCTTGAGATCGCCATAGAGAATATTTCTTTCCCACCGCTCTAAACTGAGACAGGATGCTATCGTTTGCAGGAGAAAAACACCCTGTACACAAAGGGCCCTACAGAAGGAGGATCCTTCAGTAGAAGGGGCTGCTAAACCGTGAACCCAAAAATGAGGGCAAAATGTGCCTCTAAATGCATGGCTCAATTTCTAACAGCAAGCCAAAAAAAAAAAAAAAAAGGCGGAATCGGTGATGGGCGACATCCATTCAGGTTGCAGACATTTGGGTAACAAAAAGCCCATCAGGAAAACGGAATTCCCCGATCTCATGCTGCGGCGCAACACTGACTGGGGGAGCACGAGGGACCGATGAGTTCTTTTTCCTTCTTTTTTTTTTTATGTGGACCATTTCTCGATGTATGCGTGTCATCCTTGTTCAGGTCCATGCTAATCTTCTTCCTCTTAGGCAACCCAGCGAAGAGATCTTTTTCCTCTGTATCGTTCCAATCTTAACCGATGTCTCAAAGCGCAGACTGATGAGATTTTGGCAACCCAGCGAAGATGCAACAAAACAGTCCAGTGTGAACATAACACCACCAACGCTGAGCGGGTTCCAAGTCGCATAATGGCAAAGAACGCCTCCCAGGAATCGAGAGGACAGTGTACCACAGATAGGGGACTGACTGCATAGAACAGCAGACGTACCACAGAGGTAGCATGTTTTACATTAAAAAAAAAACAAAAAAAACAGGTATCATTAAACAAACTAGCAGTTCACGTAACAACACGCCCCTCCATCACTCCCCTCTCCTCCCCCCCCACCAAAAAAAACGGTCCCCACACACATGCAATCTTTAAAGAATATATTCGTTTTTCTAGTAACAGGATCTTCAACTTCTGAAGTGATCAGTCACTCCAAACTAACAGGCGATGACAAAACTGGAACGGTCGCAGAAATTAAGGAGGAGAGGGGTGTGTGTGGATTCAGCAATAGAGAGAGAGATTCACGATTCAATAACCTGACGAGCTGTCGAGACCGGTCCGCGGCCACTCACCGGGCCTCTTTTCTTCGCCAGTTCCATGATGTCCGTCCGAACCTTTGCATCTTCCCACAGCCTGGAACGAGCAACACGCAAAGACAAAAACGAACAAGGAAAGAACAGCATGTGGCAGCAAGACGCGGACCAAAGAAGCAGAGTAGGACACTTTAGAACGACGGCCATTTTTCCTCAGTCGGGCTCTTTTCTTAGCATGCCCCACGGCAAAAGCACTTACACTTAAGACTTCTTGTTTTTCCCTTTTGGGAGGGAGGGCTGGCCGGGGGCGGGGGGGGAGGGGAGGAGATTCATGACAGACGCAGCACTTAGTCGGTCTTTTGAGGGGCAAGGAGGCAAAAGCGCTTACATTAAAGACTTCTTGTTTTTCCCTTTTGCGAGGGAGGGCTGGCCGAGAGGGGGGAGGAGATTCAAGACAGAAGTAGCACGTAGACGGCCTTTTGGGGGGCAAGGCGAAGGCTTTTCTTGCCAAAAAAAAAAGAGAAGAAGCGTGAGGGTGTTCCTATGTGTCAAAAAAACAAAAACAAGAAGCAAAAACTTCTACGCCATGGTGACGGACAGGAGGTCCTGAAGCAAAAACTTCTTTCGTTCACTTTTTTTCTTTTTATGACCACCAGCTCTAAATTGCAGTTCCATTTTTGACCACAATTGCCAACTCTGGCAGTCTAGGAGTGAAGTGATCATCAGCTCTAAATTGCAGTTCGATAATGACATCAATGTCGTAACATAGTCAAATTGCAGTCAGTAATATGAAACCGGATAGAAGCGTGGTAGCGCGTAGGGGGAAAGGCGGGGACGGGAGGAAGTATAGCGCACCGGGGGGAAAGGCTTGGCGACAACAGCTGCAGGCAGCGATCCAAGGTTGTGAGGAACAGAGAGAAAGCAACAATGCAAGGAGATAGTCAGATAGGCTTGCGTGATATCATTCTGATAAATCATTTACATAAGTAGATCAATTGGATAAATGAGTAAATACAAAATAGTTAAGAAACTTGGATAAATACTGTAGATCATTCGGACAAATGTATTGGTTTGTTTCCCTTGTTAGATTGCCGACAAATCTAACAACATAGCATCCCATCTTTGATCTCCCTCCTCATCCAATGCGGACTTATCAACTCCAATGTTCTTTTCCCGATTGGACAGATGGCTGTTCTATTTCGATGATGAGATAGATGACTGATCTGGTCATCTCTAATCTGATGACACAGTTTAGCGATGACACAGATTAGCGATGGCTCGAATTCTATTCATCTCACTTCTGTTCGCTTTCGATGGGATAGATGACTGATCTGGCCATCGCTAATCTCTCTCTTTTTGCATCCCCCTTTTACCTCTCTCTCTCTCTCTCTCTCTCTCTCTCTCTCTCTCTCTCTCTCTCTTGCTCTTTTTCCTTCCATTGTGTTGCTCAAGGAAGACTTAATGTTGGATGGATGCTTTCACGTCGTCATATCTGAATAGGAAAGGAGTTTACTCTATTCCACCACTTCGCTAATTTGATCACACAGATGACAGAATCCCTTGCTTAGCCTCCAGTCTGGTGTCCTCGATTGGATGGACGGACGTTCCGGCTTTCATCTCGATCGCTCAAATCAACGGCACAATACCGAAAGTGACGATAGTTAACCTGATTGAGAAATTGACAAGGCAGCGAGACTGCTGGTGAGCTAGCTCGCATCTTTACGGCTGATTTACCAACCCCCTGATGACTGCCCAATGAATGCCCTCGCTTTGATCGTTGGGAGGGTACATGCGGATGGACAAGGTTGCTTCACCTACTGTACAACAGACAGCGATTATGAAAGGAGAGCAGAAACTACTACCGGTAGTGCTGAAAATAAATCAAATCGTTATGACTTGTCTCTCCAATCAGACAAGTTATTCATCGATCTCCGCTAATCACGACTCACTCATTCGCTACACGACTGCGTTCGCCTCGTTTCAACTACAACGTCATTCGGTACGACTGGATTGAAGCGGACTAGACGGGACTATGCTGCGTTGGATTAGAAGATTCGCTTAGGTTGGAGATTCGGATCAGATTCGGTTCGACTATCGTCTTCCCCCGAACACAACGCACCCGCATTTTGGCCGTACCTGGCCGGAAATTTGGCTTGTATACATTCACTATCAGGGTGCGTTATGTTCGGGGGAAGACGGTAGAGATTTGGATTCAGAATGAACTGGATTGGATTGGATTCGATTGGATTAAAATCTGCACCCCGATCAACGACGGAGCAGACGAGAGAGGGGTTATAGAGGTCTTAACGAAGGTGGCGTTTCTTTATGAACTAATCAACATTGACTGACTAAAACATGGAAGCGTTCGCTGGTCGTTCATAACCCAGCATTCACATCACAGAGAGAATAACCCATAATATATCCCCAAGGCACTACGGACGTTTGCCAGAATTAAAGACAAGAACTTAACACCTGGACATCGGGGTCACCATCACAGCTGTCTCGGTCCGCAATCTGAGTGTCGGGGTCTGGAATAAGAGTGCCGGGATCCGGATCCCGATCCGGAATCAGGGAGGTCTGGAATACAAATGCCCCGATCCCGATCCGGAATCAGGGGTGTCTGGGAACGAATGTCGAGACGATGATTTCGATTCTGCCGGCGCCTTCTGAACCCCGATAGGCTGGGTGGGAATGGATAACGATGCAACGATTTCCTCGTTCAAGCCATAATGGAAAAACTGATCAATCTCTCCTCGTCAGCTAACGACATCTGTTCCGTTGCATGACAGCTGTCCATTCGCTGACAGCCAAAACTGCAGGTAGACAGCCTTCCTGAATTCTATCTCCCTGGTATTTGCTAGTGCACTGGTCGTCTGCACGTTCGTCCGTTCGTCTGTCCGTTGGTCTACCCCTGCTTGTCTATCCACCAGACATACTTCAACATTCTCTCTCTCTCTCTCTCTCTCTCTCTCTCTCTCTCTCTCTCTCTCTCTCTCTCTCTCTCTCTCTCTCTCTCTCTCTCTCTCT